AGACTTTGAGGTACCATGGCAATGGATTATTCTTCAAGGCTTCTGGGAGACTGTTCAAGAGGGTTAAGCTGCCTGACAGCAATCAGCACAGAACATTTCTTTAATTCTACACATATTGTTTTTCAGTGCAAGCGAAAACCATTTTTGTTTATTTCGTTAGCTCTGTCTTTCTAAAAACTGAATATAGTGTAAGGTTATTAAATCTGTTTTAGTGCTAGTTTTGATCCATTGCTAATCATGTTCAAGTATATGTTAAATGTCTCTTATTTATTTATTTACATTTTAACCCTTATTTTGAGACTAATATCTTCAACATATAGATATTTTGACAGTTAGAATAATTAATCAGTGGGACAACCTGCTATCATGGTTCCGATAGATGAAACCCATCAAAAGAACTTCAAGGCAAAAATTATTCCTTAAAGAACATTTTATTCAGGAAACAAAGTATCGGCACTACATAGTTGAACCCAAAAATTAAATTCCCTTCCCCTGGATACAAAGTAACAAAGTGCAATTCCCACCTCCAATAAGCTGTCATAAATCACATTCTCCAATTAGCCTAAAACACGGGTTTTCTCCCTAGCTCCTCAGCCTGCCAAAACGTTATCAGCTCATCCTTGAGTTCACACAAAGCAGCATTATTATTATGGCTAACTGAGCTCAAGCTTTCATCCCACCACCCTTCTGCACCTGATTTCTAAATACCAGAAAAAGCATGTGTTGGAAGTAAAGTCTTCATCCTGGTTCATCCAAGCTGGGGATAAATAAACAACATGGCGACTGCTTTGGGAAGAAGGTTACAGTTTATTGAAGAGGCAGAAAGATGGTTCTTGCAGGAAAGACCAGAGGAAAGAAGGACCTGAGCACATGGGCAGTAGGTTTTTATACCCTCTCTAGCCTTTTGTTTGGAATAGTTTCCTGTTCCTGTGGCATGAACTTTGAGGCTATTTCCTGTGTCACGTATTCTGACCTGAGTCTAGGTGTGACTCTCTGGTATACTTGATGGTAATGGGTTAGTCCTACTATGTCCCATCTCAGGTGTGATATGCAGATTTTAGGTCTTTGTCTTCTGGCTCCAGCTTTCCTGATAGTTTTACATCTGCATTTGTATAGGGTTGGCTCCTGTTTGGGATAGAGAGATTTGGGGGCAGGGTTGGCTTCTGCTTTTTAAAATCCTTTTTGAGGAAATATATTTTTCTGCCTTTTTAATATTTCCTTCTCTGGGGCTCTGACTTCCCTCACATATTAAAAGCAAAGAGAAAATGGCTGCAATTTTTATCAGTTGTCAGAGTGGGAACATCCAATGTTTACAGCATTGACACCTGCCTCCAGAAGCTGTGAATGCTCCAACACTGGAAGTTTTTAAGAAGAGACTGGACAACTATTTGTCTGAAATGGTATAGGTTTACTACCTGAGCAGAGGTTGGACTAGATGATCTCCAAGGTCCCTTCTAACATTATTATTATTATTATTATTATTATTATTATTATTATTATTATTATTATTATTATTATTATTATTATTATTATTGTTCAATGCTTTTTTGTAAAAAAAAAAAAAAGGAGCCGGAACTCACACACATCATTCTATGACAAAAAAAGCCCTGCTACTACTACTACTACTACTACTACTACTACTAATAATAATAATAATAATAGTAATAGTAATAGTAATAGTAATAGTAATAGTAATAGTAATAGTAATAGTAATAGTAATAATAATAATAATAAAGTTGGAACGGACCTTGGAGGTCATCTGGTCCAACCCACTGCTCAGGCAGGAAACCCTATACCTGTCAACGCTGCAAATACTGTATATTCTTGCTTTGACAATATGCAGAACTGTCTGGTATTTTTATAGTTAAATCAGGCAACAGTGAAAGGGGAGGAGAATAAGGAAAGCCCGGGAAAAAGAAACCGGAAGTAAATCACATCTTCCAAGTTAATTGGAAGATGTGAACCATGACCCCATAATAGGGAAGGGAAAAATGCCTGGAATGTATGTGCAACGGAAAAGAATCTCAGATCTAAGCATTTCCACCATGCCGTACTGACATCTCTGTAACCTTAATAAATGCTTTTAGGATAAAAATATGCCTGAAAGTCCTTTTAAGTGTTTCATTAATCAGACACATGACAATACCATTTCAGACAAATGGCCATCCAGTCTCTTCTTAAAAACTTCCAGTGTTGGAGCATTCACCACCTCTGGAGGCTGTTCCACTGGTTAATTGTTCTAACTGTCAGGAAGTTTCTCCTTAGTTCTAGGTTGCTTCTCTCTTTGGTTAGTTTCCATCCATTGCTTCTTGTCCTGCCTTCAGGCGCCTTGGAAAATAGCTTCACTCCCTCTTCTTTGTGGTAGCCCCTGAGATACTGGAACACTGGGGGAGGGCCTTCTCTGTGGGTGCCCCCACCCTCTGGAACGAGCTACCCCCCGAGATCCGGACGATTCCGGATCTCCTAACCTTCCGCCGCGCCCTCAAGACATGGCTTTTTCAGCAAGCGGGACTGACCTAGGGTGAATTTTAAATAGGGATAATTTTTAATGATTTTAATAAGAGACACAGCTACAAATATTTGGTNGTGGGGAGAAGGGCGGCATATAAGTCTTAAAATAAATGTCTCCCCTCGTCCTTCTCTTCATTAAACAAGACATACCCAAATCCAGCAGCCGTTTCTTATATGCTTTAGCCTCCAGTCCCCTAATCATCTTTGTTGCTCTTCTCTGTACTCTTTCTAGAGTCTCAACATCTTTTTTACATTGTGGTGACCAAAACTGGATGCAGTATTCCAAGTGTGGCCTTACCAAGACATTGTAAAGTGGTATTAATACTTCACGTGATCTTGATTCTATCCCTCTGTTAATGCAGCCTAGCACTGTGTTGGCCTTTTTGGCAGCTGCAGCACACTGCTGGCTTATATTTAAGTGATTGTCCACTAGGACTCCGAGGTCCCTCTCACAGTTACTACTATTGAGCAAGGTACCCCTTATACTATACCTGTACATTTGGTTTTTCTTGCCTAAATGTAGAACCTATTGAGGTCAGGCTGATAGGTCTGTAATTTCCTGGGTCCATTTCTTTTCCTTTTTTGAAGAAGGACTACTACATATTTATAATTATCTATAAATATATTATTTCCCATGTTCTGTTTCTTTTAGGTGACAGAAATGTGAATATGTGTGCATTCATTTCTTGGGGACTAATATCAAGAGCATGTGGTTGTTTCACAGCTCCAGATAGTCCTAAATTACATCAAATGTTTGCAATAACTTTTAGACATCTTTCATCCTGGTTTGGAACCAAAATCCCTTTAATGGCTCTAATAAAAGGCATACATTTTGTGTTTGACTGGAGATATAAAAAATTATCTTGAGACTTTATTGCTATGTCTTTATGGTGGTTTCACGACCATTTCACAATTTTTTTCTAAACCAGTAGAAATGAAGGATTCTTTTAAATATTCTTTAAAATCTCATCACAAACTTGCTTTTTCTGAATTTTGACCAGATGACTGTCTACAAAGTCTTCATATTTATCTAAAGATAGTGTAGGCTTCCCTATAAAAGCTATAAACTATGTTGTAGTTATATTGACTAAACTGTTTGGGTGTATTGTGTTTAACTATTTGAACCATGAATTTATAAAATAGAACCCAATATGTTAAATACATGCATGGGTGCATACATCACATACACAAAAACTTTGTCACATTGAATTTTAGTATTTTTTCTGAATATGTGGGCAATGTCTGAAGAAATCTGGTTACCTTCAAAAAACCATGATAAGTTTTGCTTTCATCATAGCTACAATTACTCATGGTTTGGGGGATCGGCAGCAATGAATTGGAACCAAACTTTCTTGAAACACACTTTTTTGTTGTCAATCCTCAGTGAGTTCCTTGCTTAAGTGATTTATGAAGACTAACTGTAATTTAGTCAGTTACCCCAGAATTGTACTAAATCATGAAAACTATTGAAAAAGATGGCAGAGTTCACATCTTATTGATCATGCTTTACACACAGTTGATGAGTACTATTGTAAAATAATTTGTAAAAAGTGTAATCACCCCAGGTAAAATGGTAAAACTTGCAACTAAGGGATGGATGAGTAAGTTTGTAGTTAAACTTGTAAAAAACAAAGTTTAAAAATCATATTTAAACAATAAAAAATTGGTAAGTGACTGCCTAAGCAACTTGAGGTATGCCGTAGGGTTTGGAAGTAGTATGGAAAGTAGCAAGGCTCAAAAAGAGTGCCTTAGATTCTTTATTAGATCAGGGTGGTATATTAATTGAACATTAGTTTAGCTTGAATTCTGCTGTTCCAAGAAAATCTGGATATGGTTTTGCAGAGATGGTCTTAATTTATACCACATTCCATATATATATCAATAACACTTAGACGTATATACAGTTTCATAACGCTTTATAGCCCTCTCTAAACAGTTTACAGAGTCAGCATATTGCCCCCAACAATCAGGGTCCTCATTTTACCGACCTCGGATGGATGGAAGGCTGAGTCAACCTTGAGCTGGTCAGGATCGAACTGCCCAACTGCTGGCAGTGGGCAGAATTAGCCTACAGTACTGCATTCTAATCACTGCACCACCACAGCACTGGTGAATGAGGTCTATATGCACGAGGTATGCATGCAAATAGTAGTATTCATGCACAATCACTTATAAAATATCCAACTAGCCAATTATGTTACAAATTAGATTACAAGAATATTCATACAAATCAACCTCCCCCAAAATATACATTTAGGGTACCATGTATACAAGCTAAAATTCAACATGTATTGAAGAAGCTTAATGTGATTTTCTTCTTGGTTCTAGATTTTATAAAACATTATTTTTTCTAAAAAAAAATTTGCCCAGAGGTTTGACTTTTTCTTTCTTTCTTTCTTTCTTTCTTTCTTTCTTTCTTTCTTTCTTTCTTTCTTTCTTTCTTTCTTTCTTTCTTTCTTTCTTTCTTTCTTTCTTTCTTTCTTTTTCAGACAGGAAGCATTGCTTGCTGCCATTAGTGAAAAAGATGCAAACATTGCCTTGCTTGAGCTGTCTGCTTCAAAGAAAAAGAAAACGCAGGAAGAAGTGATGGCTTTGAAAAGAGAAAAAGACAGATTGGTCCATCAGCTAAAACAACAGGTTGGCAAATCTTTTCTCCCCATTTCTTTCTAGGGACTCTGAGATTATTCTCTCGGTTTTCTTCTGACTTTAAGCTAAGCCTTAAAACAAACCTTGTGACAGCTGGAGGAAAAGCGAGGATCAAAATATATGTCATCTGTCTACTATTTTACTGGTCTTTAGCTGAATATAGAGTTAGTTTATTCCATATATATCTTGTTTTTCCTTTTTCTTCACATCTGACTACTGATTATACAATAGTAGCCAGTAAGATTTTGAGATATGCTCCTTATACAGAATCCCACTAACTTTATTTCTTGTATATTACTGCACTATTTGCTTATTTGGAAGGTCCAATTGTGAATCTTTTGCAGGTTTATTTGGAAGTTATATATGTGACTGGATTTCAGCACAAACCTAGTTATAATTTGCTTCAGTTATAATTACCAGTTGTACATGTATACACACATGCATACATTCTTGCCCCCAAAGTTTGTTTGCAATTAATTAACAAAATATGTTTGTATTTTTCCTTTACTGTTTAAAAAATATTATAACCCATTAAGCCAACATGGGTTTGTCACAAACAGATTATGTCAGACAAATCTTATTGCATTCTTTGACCAGGTGGCAAAATTAGTGGACCAGAGGAATGCTGTGGATATAATTTACTTGGACTTCAGTAAGACATTTGATAAAGTAGACCACAGCCTACTACTTGATAAGATAGAAAAATGTGGGTTAGACAGCATCACTACCAGATGGATTCCTAACTGGCTGACCAACTGCACTCAACATGTAGTCCTCAATGGAACTGCATCTACATGGAGGGAAGTATGCAGTGGGGTACCCCAAGGCTCTGTTCTGGGCCCAGTGCTCTTCAACATCTTCATCAATGATTTGGATGAGGGGATAGATGGGGAACTCATCAGATTTGCAGATGACATCAAGCTGGCAGGAATAGCCAACACTCCAGTAGATAGGCTTGAGATACAGAAGGAACTTGACAGACTTGAACATTGGGCATTATCTAAGAAAATGAAATTCAGTGGTGAACAAAGTAAGGTTCTACATTTAGGTAAGAAAAATCAAACACACAGGTACAGTATAGGTGGTACCTTGCTCAATAGTAGTAACTGTGAGAGGGATCATGGAGTCCTAGTGGACAATCACTTAAATATGTGCTACAGCTGCCAAAAAAGCCAACACAGTTCTAGGCTGCATTAACAGAGGGATAAAATCAAGATTGCGTGAAGTGTTAATACCACTTTATAATGCCTTGGTAAGGCCACACTTGGAATATTGCATCCAGTTTTGGTCATTACAATGTAAAAAAGATGTTGAGAAAGAGTGCAGAGAAGAGCAACGAAGATTAGGGCTAAAGATGATTAAGCTAAAACATATAAAGAATGATTGCTAGAATTGGGTATATCTAGTTTAATGAAAGAAGGACTAGGGGTGACAGGATAACAATGTTCCAATATCTGAGGAGTTGTCACAAAGAAGAGGGAGTCAACCTATTCTCCAAAGCACCTGAAAGCAGGGCAAGAAGCAACGGATGGAAGCTAATCAAGGAAAGAAGCAACCTAGAACTAAGGAGAAATTTCCTGACAGTTAAAACAATTAATCAGTGGAACAACTTGCCTCCAGAGGTTGTGAATGATCCAACACTGGAAGTTTTTAAGAAGAGATTGGACAACCATTTGTCCGAAATGGTATAGGATTTCTTGCCAGAGCAGGGGGTTGGACTAGATGACCTCCAGGTCCCTTCCAACTCTGTTATTCTGAACTAGAGGAATCTGAATTTAGGATCTCATAACCTTATCTAGTTTACACAAAATGCCTTTTAAAAAGTGAGAACTCAAAACAAATTAACCACTAATCAAATTAATAAATAAAATGAATATTTATGCCTCCTTTTTTGCTCTTTGGAAAAAGCTCCAGATAAAAATATAAGAAATAATTATTCATTTAAAACACCCAAAAGTATCATGTCATTTTTCAATTTTTGGTTGGGAATATACTGCATATTTTTCAGCTACTATCCATGTTATAATTGTTAGCTTTCACCAACCAGGAGGGACACAGATCTAGTTGACAGCTAGTTGGACTGACAACTGGCTATTAGAGATGCCTTATCGAGTTATCTTGAAACAGTTGGATCCTATCAGACTTGATGAAGTGGACAGGGTCCTCAGTGCTATCAGCGCAATTACCTGTCAATTAGATCCATGTCAGTCCTAAATGGGGAAAGCCTCCTGGATGGAGACCTCTAGGTGGGTTCAGGCAGTGATAAATACACTATTGCAAGAGGGATGTTCCTGGGACCTTAGTTACTTTGTTCAGGTAGTCTGCATTCAGGCAGGTTAAAGGCATGGATTCATCCCTGTTACCTTTACATTACCAGAAATTTCTTAAATGCCTGAGATAATGACTTTTCTCCATTTACAGTTGTCCCAGGAGTCCAGTATAGATTTTAAAAATTATTCTCTAGTACTCAACTCCTCTTTATTTGTTTCAAATAAGAGGAAGTTCACACTCATGCTGAAGTTATCTGGTTTGCTGCTGCTCACACCACCATGTCTTCGCATCCCGCGGATGGCAAGTTGTTATTTAGAAGTAAAATATACAACCCCGCTTTTTTTTAGAACGCCAAGAAATGGAAAGAAAATCCTACAAATCATCCTTGTGATTGTGTAGCCTAGCCTTTACTGACATTAAGTTCTGGATAGAACAGGCCTGTTATTTAATTCGATTTTAGAACAGAAACTATTTATTTATTATCGTGGTTTTTAGTATCGCCTGTTCACCGCCCTGAGTCCCGTAAGGGAGATAGGGCGGTATATAAATTTAATAAATAAATAAATAAATAAATAAAATTTGATCTCTGTATGCAATTAAGCCCATTGCTGAATTGTACAGATTTTCCACTAACTATTTAAAAAGTATAGAAAGCCTGAAACTAAACAACAATAAGCCCCTCCTGAAAGCCCTACCCTTTGTTAAACAAGACAAATGCCATTTCCCCACTTTTATCTATTTTCTTGTGCTACAGAACTTTCCATTGATTTCTTTATTTTCTAGACATTTAATTTTCTGGGAATTGTCTATCTTCCTTAGTAGTCAACAAAATCCTTATGGTTGAAAAGCTTCCTTTATGAAAAATGGATGGCCTTGAGTGCCAAAGATTTGCCATATGAAGGCCAAATCTCATTTTTCTTTCTGAGAAAGTGCAAAAAGGAATAATAATTTATTTTAATGGTCAGCAAACCTAGACTTCCCAAAACTGAAGGTTTGTACATTTGAAACTCAGAACTCTCCTTCCTAGATCAGCTTTGTAACTTATCACAACTTTGGTTTGTTTCAAGAACTCATTAATTTTAGCTTCTTATTCTATGTAGGCTTTTCTGAAACAGAATTTGGACTTGTGGATCAGGATCTGGCTTTTCTCTTTACTAGTTTTCTTCCATTCTCTTGCAAACTGTGGTCACCAGACTATGCTTGTAAATGCATTTATGGAAGACCAAGTAATGCTGACTTCCCTCCATACCAGATCAGATTCTGACGAGGAAAGAGAAGGGTAGAAGAATCTGGAGGGAAGTGTGTAGTGGGGTGCCCCAGGGCTCTGTTCTGGGCCCAGTGCTTTTCAAAATCTTCATCAACGATTTGGATGAGGGGATAGATGGGGAACTCATCAAATTTGCTGATGACACCAAGCTGGCAGGAATAGCCAACACTCCAGAAGACAGGCTTAAGATACAGGAGGATCTGGACAGACTTGAACACTGGGCACTATCTAACAAAATGAAATTCAATGGTGAAAAAAGTAAGGTTCTACATTTAGGCAAGAAAAACCAAATGCACAGGTATAGTATAGGGGGTACCTTGCTCAATAGTAGTAACTGTGAGAGGGATCTTGGAGTCCTAGTGGACAATCACTTAAATATGAGCCAGCAGTGTGCTGCAGCTGCCAAAAAAGCCAACACAGTGCTGGGCTGCATTAACAGAGGGATAGAATCAAGATCACATGAAGTATTAATACCATTTTACAATGCCTTGGTAAGGCCACACTTGGAATACTGCATCCAGTTTTGGTCACCACGATGTAAAAAAGATGCG